GATGTTACACTCGTCAAGAGCTTTCATTTGAGTACCCACATCAATTTTTCATATATTTTTTATATTTATATATATTATATATATATGTATATATGAAAAATATATCAAAATGCATGTGGGTACTCAAATGGAAGCTCTTGATGAGCGTAACATCGGGATGAGCTTATATCTTTAAAAACGTCAATATTTGAGAAATGACCTTGTATCTTGTGAACTATTGACATTTTTAAAGATATAAGCTCACCCCGACATTACACTTATCAAGACCTTTCATTTGAGTACCCACATCGATTTTTCATATATTTATATATATTATATATATGTATATATGAAAAATATATTAAAAGTGCATGTGGGTACTCAAATGAAAGCTCTTGATGAGTGTAACATCAGGATGAGCTTATATCTTTAAAAACGTCAATTGTTAAAAAAATACAGTGCAATTTAACAAAAGTCATTATTTAATAATGCAAAATTTTTTTTTATTTATAGTTCACAAGCCACGGCAGTCACATAGTGACTGCATAAGATTCCTATTTTTTTTAAATATTAAATTAAAATTAAAAATTTTTTTTATGATTTAGGAATAGAAGTATGTGGTTTCTCTGTCTCTCTGCTGCATTGACCCAAGGTATGACTGGGCCGTGGTTAGCAATGATTACAATGGCCTTTGGAACCATAACATCGGTAATTACATCACTAAAATTTTATTGCATTGATAAAAATAGTGATAACACATACTTACAGGAAGAAGCTGACAAACTAGGATTTTGGACAATAGTTCTGAGTAGCATCCTTTGCTTGGTAGTATCAAGAATGACGGATATATTCCAAGGACACCTAAAACTCGCAATTTCAGGACTACTGGTGATATCATCAGTCATGTTCTTCTGGATAATTCTTCTCGATAGCAAAATATTGCCCTTTAATAGATACGAGCTCTACGCAGCAGTAGTACTTGGAATATCTACTAATTGGTCAACTTCTGCGCTCTACTTAGAGTTGGCCTCCGAAATATCGTTCCCGATTTCCGAAGCCATCGTCGGAGGCTTCATGATTTTTATGTCGAACGTCGTGGGGATGATATTTTACTTGTCTTACTGCATTCCCGGAATGGGTAATTAATTTTCTTAAAAAATTAAATAAATAAAAAAATTTTTCAATTTTCTATTTTTTTAATTTTAGGTGGACGATGGTCAACTTGTCTAGTGTTTGCTAGCATTTTTGTATCCGCCATTTTTATTATTTGCGTTGAAGAACAATATAATCGGACTAAGCGAGAAAATCAGTTTGTTTCTGAAAATATTTCCTAAAAAATTTATTGAATATAAAATTTAATATGTTTTTATTTATTGACAATTTAATAAAATTATCAGAATATTTAAAAAATTTTATATTTTTTTTACTCAATAAAATTTTTTGTTACCTTGAGAGTAATTCTTTAATTTTACTTTTAAATTCAACCGCTTGGTGACTCTAGTTTCTGGATCATGAATTTTAAATCTGTAGTATTTTTCGATGCTGTAAAATTTTTTTTGTCATAATAAATAATAATTTAAAAGTTATTAATTTCAAGATTATTTTATTTTTATATAAATTGTTTTTTATCTCAAAATTAAATAAGTCAATACATAAATTTATTTTGTAAAAATAAGCGATAAATTTTTATCAACAAAAACGAAGTTGTATTTATAGATCTTAGTCATACTTTTTTTTTTTTTTTTTTTCAGCGGTTAATTGTTGAATAAAAGACCACAAATTTTTATTCATTGACAAAATGAATTCTCTATTCAATTTATAATAATAACTTGTTCTAATTTAATACTAAAAATAGAAGACAAGCTTTTAATTAATTCTCTAATATTAGATAAAATTATTGTTAATTTTTAAAATATAATAATAATAATAATAAATGAAATTTTTTTACAAAAAAAAATTTATAAAATTAAAAAAAAAATTAATTTATTTTTAAGAAGACGATAAAAGTTTAATTTTTTAATCAAATTTATCATGATTCATTATTTTGATATTAAATAATTTGTTTTGCCGGTAAAAATTATGGCATTAACTTATTTAAAAAAAAATCGAATGAATTTATTAATGAAAAATTTTGTATAAAATTATAATTTTTTTTTATTATTTCCATGACTTAAAACTATTTTTTGCTTGCATCAATATACATTTTATGATATTCCACAAAAATAATAACGTCATCTGTCTAAAATAACGTAATTCATTCCTTATTTTAATTTTAATTAGTCGAGCGGTTTAACATTAAAAAATTTATTCTCAAAATTTTTAATACAAAAAAGGTCATTTAATTACTTAATCATGAGAAGATATTAATAGAAACTAAAATAAAAAATTTATCAGTCTTGTATTGATTATGCATAATAATTATTCATGACATGTATAGTAAAAAAAAAATATATTTTTTAAATTAAGAGTACCGAGTCTACTTGCAATTGAATCGAGAGTTTCAAGAGTTTGCAAGGAGCTATATAACATAATACATACAACACATAACATAAGAAGAAGTCAGCCTTATATGGTTGGAGAAACCGTGACGTTATTCAGAATAGAAGGAGAGTAGGCCGAACAGTTTACATGTAGTAATATATAAATATAAGAAATATGCGTGTACGTGTATAATGCACTCAAGATCCTCGCCCACGGGGAATCACGATTCAATGACGCCTGCAAATGTTTAAGTAAATAAATTTTATACTAACAAATATAAAAACAACAATTATTATCTAAAGAGACGAATTTTATTTTTCTAAATTAATATTCAATTAATTATGTTTTATTTTTATTATCATTTTGGGTCATTTTCAAGCTCATCAAGTCATTACTTATGAGATTATATAACTAGCAATGTGATAAGTACATAGCTATGAAGATGTACTGGATTGATTTTATTTATTATTTATATGTTATTGTGATATAAATAAATTAGAATAAAAATATTACAATGTAAATTATATTATATTATGTTGTACATGTTAGAAAGAAGTCAGAAGAAGTCTGGTCATGCTTCGATTATTTAGGAGCTGGAGCATGACGAAAGACAGATAAAATTCTCAACTATTATCATCATATACTATTGAAAGTTATTCTTCAATGTAAGGCTGCTGGCTATATGTATGCTCAATTATTTTTTTATTTTAAATACTTGCCAACCTTCTTCTTCCTCTCTCTACGGTTTGTGGGAGGAAGTTTTTTTTTTTTTAACTAAATTAATAATAATAATAAAAATTATTATTATTTAAAAATAATATTTTATAATAACTTGTAAAAAAACAATAAACATAACAAAATTTCAAAATAATTAATCGTAATAAATCTGACAAGAAAAATTTAATTTTTATAATCTTAAATATAAAACAATTTTTTTTTTTGTAAACAAATTTCATTTATTATCGATATTATTAAGAGAATAAGCAAAATTTTGTGGCCAGTGTTTCTATATGATAAAATGGGTTTTTATAGTTAAATTTAGTATCGTTGGAAAAATCTTGACCTGGAGTTGTGCCTTTTCAAGGTTTCATATTATTCTCACCAATAGTCAATTTATGATGATAAGTATTTAGGCTGCATTTGAAAATGCTCTATCTCTAGATACATAATTAAGAAATGACCTTGTACCTTGTGAAATATTGACATTTTTAAAGATATAAGCTCATCCCGATGCTACACTCATCAAGACCTTTCATTTGAGTACCTACATCAATTTTTCATATATTTATATATATTATATATATGTATATATGAAAAATATATCAAAAATGCATGTGGGTACTCAAATGAAAGCTCTTGATGAATTTAACATCAGGATGAGTTTATATTATCTTTGAAAACTTCTATAATTAAGAAATGACCTTGTATCCTGTCAACTACTGACATTTTTAAAGATATAAGTTCATCCCGACATTACACTCATCAAGACCTTTCATTTGAATACCCACATGCATTTTTTATATATTTTTCATATATCCACAGATTCGGTAGAATCTGGCGCCAAGTTACGTTCAAATCCGTTGTAAACGGAGCGCCAGACTACCGAGTGTGTTTGCTGTAAGCAGAACGGTATTTCGAGGTTGCAAAATTTTATTTAATTCTACGGTAATTTTTTTTCCTAAATTTTATATTATAACAGTAATTCATACTTTATTTTACTGTTATTAATTAATTATATTCACTTATAACAATTAATCTACTTGAAATTAATAAATTTAATCAGCACAAACTATAGCAACGCAAAAATTTCGATCCTGACTTTTTTTCAATGGGCAAAGTGATCTGCCACAGACTAAAATATTCGAGAATGCATAGTAATCCTTCATCAGATGGGAAACTACAGTTAAAAAAAGATATTTCACAGCTTGCATCTACACCAGCCAGGGTGCGCTGGAATTATTTTTACATAAACTGTAGCTGCAAGGGAATAGTTTGCTATAAAAATGCAGCCAAAGCGAGATTTGAATTTGTACGAATTGTAAATTTTTATTATAATTACAAAAAATACTAAAATCCGAACAAAAAAAGTTTCACTGTAAAAAAATCGCGCCAAGTCCACATTCATAAGACTATTAAGAAAAAAAAAATTAGTTTTTTTCTTTACAAAAAGATATAAAATAAAAAAATAAAAAA